ACTTTATTAGCAAAGAAGTATAAAACTTCTTGCAAACATCTTTTTTGTGTGTGGTTAGAGGATCAGCGGAAAGAGTTTTTTAATATCAATTAAGTCTATAAAAATATAATAAATTAATTATGATTATGTATAAGAAATTCAATAAAAAATTTTATATTCTTTTTTATTTTATTATTTTAAAAAGGTTAGATATAAAGAAAAAAATTTTTAAAGTATTAATACTTAGCAGACACCAATATATAAAGTAAATTTGTAAATATTTATCTATTTTTAACAGTAGTTATTTGGAAAAATAAAAGTTTTAAGTATTTGTACTATTTAAAATTTTATACAATTAATGTTTTTCTTATGCTTGGAAAAGATAAAATTAGAAAAAAAACTTTAATAATAAATTTTAATAGAAAGATAAGATTGAAAGATTTCAATTAATTATTAAAAATTCACTTAAATATGCTATGATATTGGTTAAAAATAAATCATCGAAAGAATAAAATAATTTATTTTCTTATGAAAATACTAATAAACTACTCAACTTTCAAATCTACTTCCTTTTTATTATTTAAAACTATATAGTTCCACCTTCACTTTTCCAACTTTGAAATATCAAGTCCAATAGAATGCTTTTTTTATTATTTTTATGAAAACCTTCTCAAGAATATCAGTTATGTGAATTGTTCAATCACAATAAAATTGACTAGTTTAAATATCTATTTTAACCGATTTAATTTTTAATTACTTCACTAAATATGGAAAGGACAACAGGTGTTAAACACATGATCATAAAACGTTCGCCAGGCTAAGATTGTCACACTACGTTTTTACACTGAATTCAACGAACTGGCTAAATAAATCATGGTTCAAGGTTCGCGTGTCGCTGTTATAGGTGCCGGTTCGGTTGGCGCATCAATAGCTTTCGCCTTACTTATTCAAAAGATTTGTTCCACGATTCTTATGGTCGATATCGTGCAAGAAGCTGTTGAGGGGCAAGTGCTTGATCTTTCCGACGCGAATTTCATTTCTTCCACTCAGGTTCGTGCTGGAACTTTTCAGGAGGCTGGGCAATGCGATATTGTCATTGTTACTGCTGGTGCCAAACAAAAACCTGGCGAAACACGAGTGGAGGTATCGTTAACCTGTGCATTAGAAATTCGGTCCTACTATTTTTTACGGGACAGCTAACATTCTTGATAGAGTAAGGCTAAATTATGATCACGTATGACTATTGTAGTTAATCGAGAGGAATTACAAAATCTTGGATAATGTGATCAATTCCATGAAGCCGTTGAATCCAGATGTCATATTATTGCTGGTTGCTAATCCGGTAAGAATTATCTTTTTATTTTGGTTTTTTTTTTCTTTTTCCTCTAAATTTATTTCATTAATCTTTGCAAACTCCATCCAATTGAAGGTGGACGTGTTGACGCATATTGCTCAAAAACTTTCAGGTTTGCCAAAAAATCAGGTTTTCGGGTCGGGCACCTTCTTGGATTCAGCAAGATTGCGACTCAGATTAGCCCAAAAACTTGGGGTAATTGAGAATTATTATTACATGTTTTGGTCTCATTATTTTAGATTTATTTCATATCGATTCTGATATTTTAATAGGTTTCCGAAAGTGCAATTCACAGTTACGTGCTGGGCGAACACGGTGATTCGCAAATAATTGCATGGAGTTCGGCTCATGTTGGTGGTAAACCCCTGTTGGATTTTCCCGAAATTGCAAATCTGGACAAAGAGCTCGTCGCCAAAGAGATTGCAGGCAAAGCCTATGAGATTATTAAGCTCAAAGGTGCGACATATTATGGAATTGCCGGGTGTGTCTCAATGTTGGTCCAATGTATTTTATTTAATCAGCGTCACATTCGACCCCTAAGTACATATGTCGAAGAATATGGATGTGTATTCAGTATGCCTGTCGTATTGGGAAGCAATGGCATTGAAAGAATGATTGATGTCTCATTGAGTCCGGAAGAGAAAGGAAAACTACAACAATCAGCCGAGACTTTAAAGGCCATTTGTGTAAAGTACATTTGAAATTGTGTAAGATGTTACTGGAATTTGACCAATCGTTTTATGATTGCTTTTTTGTTGCAATCTTTTTGTTTAACTTCAATCGATGACCCAAACTTTAGTGTGGTAAATTCGCTTTAACGGCAACTAAGTAAACGTATTTGTTATCCCCAATATTGGATTTATAAAATTACTTTGCAAAGTAATATTTATTATAAATCTTTATAAATGAAAAAAAATAAAATAAGAGATATGAAAATTGACAAAACAAATTTAATAATTTTTGTATTCAAAAAAAAACTCGATCATTTGAATAATGCTGCCTGCACATGATATAGACGAAATTTTGTTTAAATGAATGCACACACACACATATATATATATATACTGTATATATATATATTAAAGTTTTACAATAATTTCTTGAGTTGCTATATATGTACAATGTGTATGCGGCTGATCATCATATACTGTAGATAGCATATAAAACATCTGCTCGAGATATTTCGTCAACTTACATGCGATGTGAATTTAAAGGTAAAACTTCACTAGCAGCAAAAAAAAAAAAAAAAAAAAAAGAGTTATTCGTGAACACTTCGTGTAGATGTGCTAGTATGGTGGCGGTTTAAAGATAACCACTTTTATATATTGGAGAAATATTTTCTAACTGTAGGAATATCTTTCACGTGTCGTTCCTGGATTTCATATACGCAATGTATTATAAGCTTACGCATTACGTGCCATTACAATTTTAGACATAAATCCGAGATGATGATATTGATTATCACGCCGCTAATTTAATATTAAAACGCGAGGGAGACGTAAAATTTGCATATAAAATAACAACTTTTTCATCGAATTCAAAGTATCATTGTTATTTTAACTGATAATTAAGAAGCATGTGCTTGATCATACCCTCATACAGTCAACCATCCATTCATTAATTTGTACAATCGCCCGAGAAACCTTGATTGGCGTTAATTCATTTTGTTATGAAGCCACTTTGAAATATCTCGGATTATTTGTCGGAAGGGACGATATCGTTTTTGACCCAAATAAATAAATAAATGATAATCCAGAATAAATTTCTCTTCCAGTCTTCCTTCTAATTTCCTCTGAAAGATAATTTTTAATTCAAGGGAATAAAAAGAAACTAGTTAATTAATATAGAGTGGACAATATCATTCATTCATTAACGAGCATCACCCGTTCACCCCTCCCTTCACCCTTCCCTTCCCTCTCCTCACACCCATCCTTTCACCAGTTTCGTTAATTTAACCGTTGTCCGCTTGAACAAGAAGAATAAAATTAAAATTATATATAATGAGCGAAACATACATACAGGACGAAGGTGATTTAGGGTACGAGGAAGATTACATTGAAGAGGAATCACTCCACACAAATGAAAACGAAGCGAAAGTCGACAGCAGACCTTTGAGCCCGAGCCGAGTTCCTACCAGAGTCAGAGCTCCCTCACCCAAGTCTAATGATTACAGATACTCATCGAGTTATCATGTAAAACAAGCCGAAAAAGCATTAAAAACTTTAAAGAGTGTCGTGAAAAAACCTGGATGGGAAAAAGTTCTAACGCATAAGAGTGGCGTAGTCGTTTACACCAAAATGGGGGTCAATAGACATGACAGAACTCCTGTGTACATGGGCGAACATGTAATCTCGGGTGTCTCGCCGCAATCGGTTTTCGCTGTTATCGGAATGAGAAAACTTTGGGATGAATGGTGGGATGGGATTCGCTTAAATATGATTGTCGTTTATAGTGAGCACCACTCACCGTTCGACTACTAACATAATACTTTTAGGTATGAGGAAGGTAGTCTCGTGGAAAATTTGAATGATACAACGAGTTCCACCTATATGGTTATGCAGGCATTTGGTTCCAAGTAATTATTCAACATTCTTCAACACATCACCTCAGCATCCATTTTTTTTGTTTCTATTGCAATACTCACGTTCACTTCTTCGTCTCTCTTCTCTTCCCCTTTCATCCCGTAGAGCTAGGGACTTGTCCTTGGTGGAAAAAATTGAATGCACCCCGAGCGGATCAATCTTTTTCGCTGCAACCTCGATAGAAAATCAAAAGGTTCCTCATATGGACGGAAGGGTTCGAGCGGAAATTAAACTTAACGGTTGGATACTCGAACCGATACCTTTTTCACCACCAAAAACTAAGGTCACCTACGTTTTGCAAGCGCAAACGAGCGGGTGGATACCATCGCTATTGGTTAAGAAATATCTAATGAGGCGACCACTTGTAATAAACACCATCGAAACCTATTTGAAAAAGAACGGTCCGCCTCCAATGATCATTAGCACCACCCCTCCTCCTTCCCGAAGAGTTTCTGGAAGGACCAGCAATGCCTCGTAAGTTATCCCTAAAATAAATGTTCACATAATTGTATCGCGAGAATTTTTTTATCTATCTGACCAATCATCTTCATTTGGGTATCCAAAGTGTTGAAGATGTTAATGTGGATGTTAAAAATTTAAGAAAGAAAAGGATGACGAGAGAACGACGAGAGACCTCGCCGATTAACGGTTTTAAGTCGGGCGTGGCGAACGGGAAACTCGAGTTCTCATCCCTCCACGATCAAAAAAAGTTGATAAGAGATTCGTCCGCACTTAGTTCTACTTCGTCACTATCACTTAAAGATGCAATCTCAAGCTCTCAATCTTCACCTGTCATACCGAACGATTTCGTTCTCGACGAACATTCGACCAATTCTTCGTTGAAACAAAAATCGACACAACACATTCCGAACACGCATCGCCACGCAGAAGCGGCATTTAGGGCGATAACCACCGCCAAAACTTTGGCCAACGATTACGACAGGTGGAATATTGATATCGACGACCAAGGTGTAAAAACTTTTACAAGAGATATCTATGATAAACTGACACCACTGATGCGTGGTGAAACTATCATTTCTGGCGGGTTCACCCCCGAAGACATCTTATCAGTTGTTAACAGTATCGATATGAGAAAGCTTTGGGATGATCGGTTCGAAGAAGGAAAAGTGATTGAAAGATTTGGACAAGAGGATATACTCACGAGAGTTTGTATGAAGGGAACTTTTCCTATCAGGTGGGAATTATTTCACGCGTGACTTTACAATTTCCACGTGAATTTACAAGTCCATTCGTTTACCGTAGTGGTCGAGATCTCGCGACGATATCCAGAATCGAAAAAGAGCAAGAAACCGGTACCATTTGGTTGGCAAGTACGTCGGTATTCGATCCATTAATCCCGGAAAGTAGAAAACACGTTCGCGCCGAACTGAATATTAGCGGATGGAGATTGCAACCGATTATTAATAAATTAGGCCAATCCGATTCGGTTAGTGTGACATATATTGTTGACATCGACATAAAACTTGAATCCATTCCTTCTTCGATATTCAAGAGCATATTGACGCAAACGCCTATGTGTGTCGCAAAGATTGATGAGTTGATAAAGAAGATTGGACATCCACCATACATAAAATCTTCCTCGGGAACAATAATTTCAGAAGTGTTGGACACAAAGACCTATCGGTATGATCTAACCATAGAGTCGGTCGGTTGTGGGGATGTGACGACGATTAAGATATCAAAAACGATGTACCCATCCGGTTTTAATATTTTCATAATGCCCGAAAATTCAAAGATTGTATTATCACCTGGCAGAGATGTGGTGAGCATAACGCTACCCAATGAAACAGGAGTTGAAACACTGGACATTAAGATTATAAAAAATCATTCGGACAATGTTCGGTATACCTTCAAAGGAGAAAATATTCCCATTGATCATCCGAAAGAAGCCGAAAAGGAAATTGTCGAGCCACCTTCACCGGTGCATCCCACGCAAGATGACAAAAACGATAACAAGGTCGACAACGATGATGACAGCATCGAAAATGATTACAGAATCGACAACGATGATGACAGAATTGAAAATGATTACAGAATCGACAACGATGATGACAGAATCGAAAATGATGATAACAAAATCGACAACGATGATGACAGAATCGAAAATGATGATGACAAAATCGGCAACGATGATGACAGAATCGAAAATGATGATGAAAAAATCGACAACGATGATGACAGAATCAAAAATGATGATGACAGAATCGAAAATGATGATGACAGAATCGAAAATGATGACAAAATCGACAACGATGACAGAATCGAAAATGATGACAGAATCGAAAATGATGATGACAGAATCGAAAATGATGATGACAGAATCGACAAAAATGAGACCTCTTCAACGAACGCAACGCTTGTTGCAAGAGATGGTTTCGATGTGAAACTTTTGAGTGAGATGGATGTAGAAGGAGATGAACATGGTGAAAAAGAGTATAATAAATTTAAACGCGGTTTACTGGGTTCCAATCTTAAAAGTATTACAGACCCTAGCACATTTCAGCCTATCGAAGGTATCAATTATAAACTTTTTTAGGTTCACTTAATTTTTTCTTTTTCTTTTTTATCAATTTCTAATTTTGTTTGCATCCCTTTTGCGGCAGAAGTTCAAAACAAAACAACGCCAAAGGAGAAGAAATCGACGGTAATTAATTAACTAATTATGATTACTTCTGCTGGGAATGTTAATTAAATTTCGGCAAACTTTTTACGTGATAGGACAACCAAAAAACCGATTATCCCATCTCAAGATCTGAGCAATTTGAAAAAAAGTATGTTCCCACACCATCTTTTAAGGCCAACAAAACGAAGTACATTCCGGAACCCATGTTCATGGAATCTACTGAGACGCACACTCCCGAACAGACCGACGATAACAACTTATCAACTTCACCCACCTACACACTACTATCCTCACATTCCGAGAAATCGACTTCTCAACAAAGGGCCTCACGTAGGATATCTTCACGCATGTTACCCGAATATCTGTTAAATCAATCCCAATTTGACCTGGCGGACAACGAGATAAACATTAATAATGGAGGTAGCAACAGCAAGGGGAATAAAAGGATTAGTATCTTCGCAACGGATAACAACAGTAAGAATAGGATTGGAGTGATGCTGGGCGAAAGTGAAATTAGCCTTAGTCCACAACAGGCTAGTCTAACGCTTTTCCTTATGGTTCTAGCTTACTATGCGGGGAGATTTAGCGCGTGCAATTAGTGATAAAATACAAATGCGACGTTTCTTGTCTTTTTTATGTGCACTTTCATTTCTTAATTTACATTCTTATATTAACATTCACAAAATCGAATATCATTAATTTATTAATACTACAGCTTAAATATTTTGCTAATCTAATAAATAGCATTGGAGAAGAAATAAAAAGATTAAATAATAATAATATTATTATATACAGTATATATGCAGTATATATAATCCTTTTTTTTTTTTTTTTTTTTTTGTATTCCTTTCGCAATAAAACGCCTCTACTTCTCAATCGCAATACACAAACAATAGTCTGTATAGTCTTGAGGATACTTTTAAAACCATGATTATATATTCGTGTACTTCTTCATCTTTCTCTTTTAACAAATCCACCGAACTTCGCCACGGTTCCGCTGGAAAATCCATTGACAAAAGTTTTACCGAATGGCGAGGTGCCGATACCACTATACTTATTTGCAGCATCAATTCCTGAACCTTTGATCAAGCCGTTGTCAATCTCAAAAGGTCTTATTCCGGAATGTAGAACTCCTCTGAAATTTGGAATTATGTCACATCTTTGGGCGGCTTGGGTTTCGAGCAGTGACATGATAGGAAGTAAAACGATGAGGAAATATTTGAGTATGATCCGCGTCGGTTTTAAAGACATTTGGTGATTTCCTTCTGTAATGGAAAGGCGTCGGACAAACTGCACAACGCAAATGTATTTATGTCTTAAAATTTCTCTTGATCGCGATGCATAGAAAATCTTGAGCATTT